TATTGTATTACAATATTATATGTACATGCAATTTAGTATATTATTAGCATAGCACAATATTAGCATTATATATTACTATATTAATACTATACCACTAAACTGCAATATTATTAGTAATATTACATGTAATATAAAGGAAAAGGTAAAGGCTTCCCCTGACGTTAAGTGTAGTCAGGTCCGACTCTAAGGGTTGGTGCTCATCCCCATTTCTAAGCCGGGGAGCCGGCATTGTCCATAGACACCTCCAAGGTCATGTGGCCAGCATGACTGCATGGAGCGCCGTTACTTTCCCGCAGAAGTGGTACCTATTGATCTACTCACATTTGCATGTTTTCAAACTGCTTGTTGTTGTTCATTCGTTCAGTCGTCTCCGACTCTTCGTGACCTCATGGACCAGCCCACGCCAGAGCTCCCTGTCGGCCGTCACCATCCCCAGCTCCTTCAAGGTCCGTCCAGTCACTTCAAGGATGCCATCCATCCATCTTGCCCTTGGTCGGCCCCTCTTCCTTTTTCCTTCCACTTTCCCCAGCATAATTGTCTTCTCTAGGCTTTGCTGTCTCCTCATGATGTAGCCAAAGTACTTCAACTTTGTCTCTAGTATCCTTCCCTCCAATGAGCAGTTGGGCTTTATTTCCTGGAGGATGGACTGGTTGGATCTTCTCGCAGTCCAAGGAACTCTCAGAACTTTCCCCCAACACCACAACTGCTAGGTTTGCATAATCTGGGGCTAACAGTGGGAGCTCACGCCACTTCCCGGATTTGAACCGGCAACATTTCGGTCAGCAAGTTCAGCAGCTCAGCGATTTAACCCACTGTGCCACCAGGGGACCCTACTTATATTATTATAAGTATATATTATAAGTATTATAATTATTATATTGTGTTATATTATATATATTATTATATATTATAAGTATTATAATTATTATATTGTATTATACATGTAATATATAATATACAATTATATATTATTATATTATATAAAATATACATGTAATATATAATATACAACATGGCTTTTTGAACAAGCCTTTGAGAACCTACTGCAATGGATAAGCACGGAGATATGTAAAATCGAATACTGGAGCGGCTTAGACAATGTTTTTGGACGATGAGGCTAATAGTGAAGTTAGTAATTTTATATGTTCTAAAAGGTTTTGATGTATGTATTTCATAATTCTGTTTTAAATGTTTACTGTAATTTTTACATTGTTTTATGGCATCGAATAGCTGTCTATGTTGTAAAGCCGCCTTGAGTCACCTTCAGGTTTGAGAAAGGCGGAGTAGAAATATCGTAAATAAATAAATAAATATTATTAGTATTATAATGTATCACATTATAATACTATCAATATTATATGTATATACACAATATATTATATTATTAGCATAGCACAATATTAGTATTATATATTACTATATTTTTGCTAGGGGGAGGGGCTCCCAACAGATGACACAGGAAACATGGTGGAACTGTGTCTTCCTGGCTCCCCCTCTTCACTCTGGATTCAGAACAGCAGAGTGTTTAATTCCATTTTAATGGTTGTATATTTTTAGGTTTTAAACCTACCTTGCATTGTTTTTCCCGTAAGCTGCATTGAGTCTCTTTTCTAGAAGGAAAATGGGCCAATAATAATAATAATAATAATAATAATAATAATAATAATAATAATTTGATGAGCAGTATTTTGGACAAATGTGGGTATTTATTTATTTATTTCAAATATTTATACCCCGCCCTTCTCAACTCAGGGCAACGATTCGATGCCCCTATATGCACATAATAAAACACAATAATTACATATAAATAAAACATTAAATCAATTCATTTTAAAACTGTTTAAAACATTATAGCCTGGTGGCCTAATCTAAGCCGAATTCTGTCACCAGAGACTCTATCAGAAGCTTGTCCAGGGTCCATTTCCATAGCGAATTGTCATCATTACCATTGTCATTGTCAGCGTGTTACCCAAATGCCTGGTTTTTAACTTCTTTCTGGTGATCTTATTGTGGATTCACTGGTGATCTTATTGTGGATTCAAACCTGGCTGAGGTATTTCATGTAACCCATGAACCACTTTCGACTACTCTGATCCTTGAGGCACTTTATGAAAAAGCCACCATTGAAATTATTTGTTTCATCTCTTGCGTCTTCAGCATTTGCATTTACTTCCGCCTCTTTGTTTAAAACTACCAAGTCTAATGATGATCTTCTTTGCAGTCAGAGAAAGGGGAAGAGGAAGATATAGACGAGGAGAGCAGCCAGTTCATGAAACTCGCCAGGAAAGTCACCGCTAAGTCACTGCAAAATAAAGGTAGGCTTTTTTTTTCTTTTTGAGAGTTGTGGGTGCCAAAATAGCTTCTGGGGTGGGACTCATGGATATAGCTAACTGTCCTGCACAGCATTTTATCCTTTTCGACTCAAAGCTTTCTTTGTGTCTTCCTCCTCTCTCAGCCAAACCTCCAGCAACTGTTCAGGAGTCTAAGTCGCTTTCCCGAAATCCATTTGAAGCATTTCGTCCTGCCAGCAACCCTCAGGTTAGTAGCAGATCCAGTGAACTACAATAAGATAAATCACTTTGCTCCCAAAGAGCTTTTTTTTTTTTAAATGGAGCCGCTGATCATGCATGTCAAATTGCATAGCAGCATGATTGCTATACTTTTAATTACACCGGGGAGCATTGGTTTTGTGGTGGAGCCACATACTAGATGGGCAGAGGATGACCACTTCTGTCATAACACATTCTGGAGTCTAAGAAGGACTGTATGGAGTATCGCAGCCAACCAAAATCAACACTGCTGGAAATACTGCACAGTACTGCATAGCCCAAGAAAGTAGCCCAAGAAAGTATATGAAAGCAAAAGGAAATGGTGATAAGGGGAGATATGCCCAATTAAATGCACAATTCCAGAGGTTAGCCAGAAGAGATAAAGAACTATTTTTAAACAAGCAGTGCATGGAAGTGGAAGAAGACAACAGAATAGGAAGGACAAGAGACCTCTTCCAGAAAATTAGAAACATTGGAGGTAAATTTCAGGCAAAAATTGGCATGATAAACAAAGATGGCAGGGACCTAAGAGAAGCTGAAGAGATCAAGAGAAGGTGGCGAGACTATGCAGAAGATCTTTATAGGAAGGATAATAATATCAAGGATAGTTTTGACAGTGTGGTGAATGAATTAGAACCAGACATCCTGAGGAGTGAGGTTGAATGGGCCTTAAGAAGCATTGCTAACAACAATGCAGCAGGAGACGACGGGATCCCAGCTGAACTGTTTAAAATCTTGAAAGATGATGCTGTCAAGGTGATGCATGCCATATGCCAGCAAATATGGAAAACACAAGAATGGCCATCAGACTGGAAAAAATCAACTTATATCCCCATACCAAAAAAGGGAAATATTAAAGACTGCTCAAACTTCCGTACAGTGGCCCTTATTTCTCATGCCAGTAAGGTAATGCTTAAGATCCTGCAAGGAAGACTCCAGCAATACATGGAGCGAGAGTTGCCAGATGTTCAAGCTGGGTTTAGAAAAGGCAGAGGAACGAGAGACCAGATTGCCAATATCCGCTGGATAATGGAGAAAGGCAAGGAGTTTCAGAAAAACATCTATTTCTGTTTTATTGACTATTCTAAAGCCTTTGACTGTGTGGATCATAATAAATTGTGGCAAGTTCTTGGTGGGATGGGCATACCAAGCCACCTTGTCTCTCTCCTGAGGAATCTGTATAAGGACCAAGTAGCAACAGTAAGAACTGACCATGGAACAACAGACTGGTTCAAGATTGGGAAAGGCATACGGCAGGGTTGTATACTCTCACCCAACCTATTCAACTTGTATACAGAACACATCATGCGATGTGCGGGGCTTGACGAATGCAAGGCTGGGGTTAAAATTGCTGGAAGAAACATTAACAACCTTAGATATGCAGATGATACCACTTTGATGGCCGAAAGCGAGGAGGAGCTGAGGAGCCTTCTAATCAAGGTGAAAGAAGAAAGCGCAAAAGCTGGGCTGCAGCTAAACATAAAAAACCCAAGATTATGGCAACAAGAATGATTGACAACTGGGAAATAGAGGGAGAAAATGTGGAGGCCGTGACAGACTTTGTATTTCTAGGTGCAAAGATTACTGCAGATGCAGACTGTGGCCAGGAAATCAGGAGACGCTTACTTCTTGGGAGGAGAGCAATGTCCAATCTCGATAAAAGAGTGAAGAGTAGAGACATCACACGGGAAACGAAGAGCCGCATAGTTAAAGCAATGGTATTCCCCATAGTCACCTACGGATGTGAGAGCTGGACCATAGGGAAGGCTGAGTGAAGGAAGATAGATGCTTTTGAACTGTGGTGTTGGAGGAAAGTTCTGAGAGTGCCTTGGACTGCGAGAAGATCCAACCAGTCCATACTTCAGGAAATAAAGCCTGACTGCTCATTGGAGGGAATAGTAGAGGCCAAGATGAAGTACTTTGGCCACATCATGAGAAGAAAGGAAAGCTTAGAGAAGACAATTATGCTGGGGAAAATGGAAGGAAAAAGGAAGAGGGGCCGACCAAGGGCAAGATGGATGGATGGCATCCTTGAAGTGACTGGCTTGACCTTGAAGGAGCTGGGGGTGGTGACAACTGACAGGGAGCTCTGGCGTGGACTGGTCCATGAAGTCACGAAGAGTCGGAAACAACCGAACGAATGAACAACAACATGGGATTTTGGAAGAGTTTGGGAAATGTGCAGTTGGCTCCACCCCTTTTTCTTTTTTTTTTTTTTTAATAAGTTTTTATTAGTTTATCACAATTATTACATACTATTGCATTTTCTACATCAACCTCTTTAACATGTTATTTTGTTGTTTTGCTTTGACATTCCTCCCCTTTTTTTTCTCTTTTTTTTTTTTTTTCCCCCACCTCCGTGCTCCCCTCCACCCGTTTCAAGCCACATTTCTTACATTTCATCAGTCCAAAATTTCATTTCTTCTTGTGACGGTAATTTTCCTTCCTTATTTTTTTAATCCATTTATCACAAATTTCCCCCATATAGCATCAAAATCACTTTGTTTCCATATACCTTTTTTAACCTTTAATATACATGTCAGTTTATCGTTTAAAGCTAATTTCCATGCTTCCTTATACCACTCCTCTATTTGTATATTCATTTCTTTTTTCCAATTCCTTGCTATGAGCAGTCTTGCTATAGTTAGTAAATTTGTTATCGCTTCTTTATCCTCCTTTTTCAATTGCTTATTGGTATATAATGATAGTAAGGCTATACTAGGGCTTTTATCTATTTTCATATTCATTATAATTTCTATTTCTCTAAATACTTTCTCCCAAAAATTATTTACATATTTACATTGCCACCACATATGTATATATGTTCCTGGTTCTTGACACCCTCTCCAACAATTTATTGAATTATTCTTATTCATGTATGCTATTCTTACCGGTGTTAAGTACCACTTCCATACTAGCTTATAATAATTTTCTTTAACTCGTATCGATAAATTTTTTAAATGTCTTTGTCCCCATAGCTGTTGCCACTCTATTTCGCTTATTTTTATCCCTAAATCCTCTTCCCAAATCTCCTTAAGGGTACACTTTTTTATTTTTCCATCCCTCATTTCAATTAGTATCTTATAGATTTTGCTAATTATACCTCTCAAGTTTTCATGTTCTTCTACTGCCCTTCCCTTCTGTATTATTTGTTCGAATTGATTAAGTTGGCCTCCATTTCTATTATTCTTTTTCCAATTTATTAACCATTGTTCTAATTGTATACAGTGAAACCATGATAATTTTATTTCTTTAAACTCTTCCAACATCCTTTCCCTCTTCATTTCCACTTTCATCCAATCCCCTATTCTATCTAAATTTATTTCCCTTACCTTTTTATCCATTACTTTTTTTAAATTTTTTGGGAATTTCTTTTCCATCACTATTGGGGTAATAATTGATCCTTCCTTTATTAACCTCCCCTTGTACTTATTCCATACTTTCAGTATGTTACTCAACATTGGGTTTCTAATTTCCTTCAATTCTGTTCTAGTAAGCTGTTTAAAAAATATATTCCAGGTTTCATCTTCCACTTTTCCTGAATCATTACTAAGCCAGTCTATTCCCTTTTTTTTAACCATTCCTTCTATAACCAGATTTAGTCTACTTGCATCATAATATTTTTTTATATTAGGTAATGCTAGTCCACCCTCCTTTTGCGATCTATACCATATTTGTTTATTTAGTCTATTTTTCTTACTTCCATTGCAGTACTTATTAATCATTTGTTGCCATCTAGTTAGTTCTTCCTCTGTGATTTGAAGTGGTAGCATCCTAAATATAAAATTTATTTTTGGAAGTATTTTCATTTTTACTAATGCTATTCTTCCAAACCAGGATAAATGTATACCTTCGTACTCTATTAACTTTTTCTGAACTTCTTTTCTTAAAGTTACTACATTTTCTTCCTCTATCTCTTTTAAATCTTTAGTTATTATTACTCCCAAATATTTTAATTTATTCTTAATTCTTATTCCCGTTTTTCTTTGTTCTATGATTTTTTTTCTTCTTCTCTTGTATAATTGAGTAGCATCATTTCTGACTTGTTCCAATTAACTTGTAAACCCGTTGCTTTCCCAAATGTCTCCAAATGTTCTTTTATTCTATCTATTTTCTCCACTATATTTTCTATTGGATATATACCATTGGACTTTTGGAAAGAGAAAACAAGAACTTTTTTGCAAACACTTCTGGTAAAAACCAGACACTTGAAAAAGGAATTGCTCTGAAGACTTGTAACTAATTGGCTTCTGTTTATTGATCACGTTAACCATAACAAAGGTACATTGAGGTTGTATCCTGCCTCGAGCTGCAGGGAGAGGTGGATAAGTAATTCATTATTATTATTATTATTATTATTATTATTATTATTATTATTCAGGTGTCAGTACGAAGCTTTTAAATGCTTTGCCATGTTTTTGTTTCTTTTAAACTTTATTTCCAACATATTAGTAAATATCTACAGTTAAATATATTTCCTACCTCCACAAACTATTGTGGGGACAAAATAATCTACATCTTACATACATCACTATATTAAACAACTCTGCATATGTCATTTCGCACAGAAACAATATTTGTTGCTCTTTTCTTTTTCTTACTCTATTATTTATTTTAAAGTTTTTATGTTTTCTCAACTATCTGTACCACAGATCTTCTACTGCTGGTAATCAATATATTTGGCATCATTTAGAATGTCCTCCTTCCCTTCATTAATAACCATTTCACGTGTATTTTCCTAACACATATATCAAGACAGTAAGGTGTCACCATTAAGTGATAAATTTGAAATAGATAGTTCAATATTCTTTGCTGTTACCTGCTATATTTCAGAACTGATTTGATTATATTAATGCCGCCATGGTCTTGCACTGACTTTTACAATTATGCTCAGCCTTAGATCTCATTCCTACAGAGATGTTTAGGTAATTATGAAGCTTGCTAAAAATAAAATAATAATAATAATAATAATAATAATAATAATAATAATAATAACAACAATGTATTTATGGATTACCTCTACTTGCAGCTTGAGGTGGGGTAAAATATGCTTAAAACGGTGACGTGAAACACTATTAAAATACATATAACAAATACACATAGGTAAAATGCAGATTAAAATGCACCAATAAAATGCAGGTTAAAATTCACAAGTTAAAATGTTCCTTAATGTTATATTTCCACACGGATCTCGTCCAACCCCATTCTACCATACAGGAAAAGCCAATCAAAGCACCCCTGATAGATGGCCATCCAGCCTCTGTTTCAAAGTCTCCAAAGAAAGAGCCTCCACCAGACTCTGAGGCAATGAGTTCCACTGTTGAACAGCAATTCTTACAGTCAGGAAATTCTTATGAATGTTTATTTACTTTATTTATTTACTTTATTTATATACAGCTTTTCTCAGCCCTCAGGCGACTCAAAGAGGTGAACAACATCAATACAAAACATCATGAGACAAGTATAAGGCAATTAAAAACAATTGTAACATAAATCATTAAACATCCGTATAACAATCATTAGTGCCTCAACAGTAAAATCAGAATCCAGTCTCATCATCCATTATTCCGTATTCCTATGTTCAATTACACTGTTTAATCAAATGCTTGTTCGAACAGCCAGGTCTTCACTTTCCTCCGAAACGCCAGCAGGGAGGGGGCTGATCTGATATCTGCAGGCAGGGCGTTCCACAGCCGAGGGCCACCACTGAGAAGGCCCTGTCTCTCGTCCCCGCCAGGTGCCTGTGATGCAGGCGGGACAGAGAGCAGGGCCTCCCCAGATTATCTTAGTGTCCTAGCCGGTTCATAGGAGGAGGAGCGTTCGGAGAGGTAAGTAGGGCCAGAACCGTTTAGGGCTTTATAGGCTAACGGCAGCACTTTGAATTGTGCCCGGTAGCAAACTGGCAGCCAGTGGAGCTGGCGCAACAGAGGAATAGTATGCTCCCTGAGTGCCGCTCCTGTTCAATTGGAATCTCATTTCCTGTAATTTGACTCTATTGCTCCAAATCCAGGCCTGCTTCCTCTTCCTTATGACAGCCTTTCATGAGACAGGGGGTGGTGGTGGTAGTGGTGGCCGTATTGTCTGTGGTTTGAGCAGTGGACTACATCTCTGGAGAAATTTCTTTTAGTAAACTCAGTCCATGCCGCTTGAAACTTATGCCTCTGGATAACCTCCTTGCTTTTTACAGCTGAAGAACGGATCCCTGCTGAACCGGCCCAAAGAAGTCTTGCAGAAGCTGGCGGCCATGTCGGGCCTCAACCCAAACGCCCCGAGGAACTCGCGGAACTTTGTCTTCCAGACACTTTCCCCAGTTAAGAGCAAAGAGACAACAGAGAAGCCCAAGCCTCAGGTAGAAGTCAGATTTATTTGAGTGGATGGTAGTTGCTTAGACTTATGTTTACATTATTATTTCCCGAAAGGAGCTTGTTTGGGTAAGGATGTGAACTTTTGTAATAAAAAATACCCAGTTAATTTTTAATATTTTTGACAGATTCCACTGTTGAACAGGATGCTTTTTCTAAGGTTTAAGTGGAATCTTTTCACCTGTAATCTGAATCCTTTGCGCCATTGTGTCCTAGTCTCCAGAGTAGCAGAAAAACAAGCTTTCCTCACTCCTCAGTAGAACTTTGTTTCAGATATTATAACATGACTCTCATGTCCCCTTCTCCCACCCTTCTCTTTTCCAAGCTAAGCTTAACTTGTATTAATGTCTTCTAGGTCAAGAAGAGAGCTCCCATTCCCATTGCGGCACCTTCTCCCAAACGGCTGCGTCTCGACAGCACTTTAGCGCAAGAAACCCGGAGTATCTTCCAGTACTTGGAGCGATAAACATTGCTGTCTGTTGCTACCACATCCCGTCTGGTTCCATACGCTTTCTATATTGCCCAGGGATCCAAAAGCAAGACAGTCCCAAGTGTAAATCCCTAATCTTGGGGGGAAACACCATGCTCTATGGATATGATGGCATTTGTGGCACTGGATTTTCAGGCACAAAGAGGAGAGCAAGGGAAAACAGGGTATGATTTATGTAACTGGATTTATGCATCAAGTGCAGCATTAATGGTGAGCCTGCTTTTCTCCACCTTGGTCGCCTCTTGGTTTTAGTCTCCATCTGACTCCCAAGAAGTGGTTTATTTTGAGACTATGATTCCATGGTTTTTGACCACTACAGAAGCTGGTATATATTTTCTCCTGTGCTGTGGGAAGCATCTTGACTACAGAAATGGGACCGTTCCTTCTTTGTTTCCCCGCCAAATTAATTTCTGTGAAGACAACTGTGTACTGTAGAGCAGGATATATAAGATCCTTTCCCTTTTTATTCCCTGCACCTCATCCTCACGTAGTTTGTCTGATTTTTAATATTTTTTTTCTTAACAAACCCTTGGATTTGTGTCAAGGGAGAAAGCAGAGAGTATCGTTCCATTGGTTGTGACTCCCTTTGAGCTGTCCACGAGTCCATATGGACACTTTAAACCTTTTAAAATGGAAAATAAAGCTCTGGAGCAAAAGGTTCTGGTCAGTTTTGAGGCAAGATTTGAAATCTGGAAGACGAATGGAATCACACACCATTTTGAATGGGTTGCACTTAAATGTGAATAGAGCAACATCCTGCCTGATGCTTAATGTCCTTTCTATTCATCTCTCCATTGGATTTAGGCCTCTGAGGAACATGTTTCCAAAGGCTTAAGGTTATTCCTACATTGTAAATTTATTGTGTTGGTTTGTTTATCTGAGTGCATATTGTATGTGAGCGTATGTCTTTAAAAAATAATAAAATTGGTTGTCTATGACTTGTGATATGCTAGAACAGCGGTTCTCAACCTGGAGGTTGGTAGCCTTGGGGGGGGGGGGGGGGGGGGGGTCAAAGGGGTCTCCAAAGACCATCGGAAAACACAATATTTTCAGTTGGTCATAGGGGTTCTGTGTGGGAAGTTTGGCCCAAATCTATCATTGGTGGGGTCCAGAGTGCTCTTTGATCGTCAGTGAACTATAAATCCCAGCAACTACAATTTCCAAATGTCAGGGTCTATTTTCCCCAAGCTCCAACAGTGTTCACATTTGGGCATCATGAGTATTTGTGCCAAATTTGGTCCATACCCATCATTGTTTGAGTCCAAAGTGTTCTCTGGATGTCGGTGAACTACAACTCCAAAACTCAAGATCAATTCCCACCAAACCCTTCCAGTATTTTCTGTTGGTAATGGGAGTTCTGTGTGCCAAGTTTGGTTCAATTCCATAATTGGTGGAGTTCAGAATGCTCTTTGGTTGTAGGTGAACTATAAATCCCAGCAACTACAACTCCCAAATGACAAAATCAGTATTCAGATTTGGGCATATCGGGTATTTGTGCCAAATTTGGTCCAGTGAATGCAAATACATCTTGTGTACCAGATATTTACATTATGATTAGTAACAGTAGCAAAATTACAGTTGTGAAGTAGCAACAAAAATACCTTTATTGTTGGGGGTCACCACAACACGTGGAACTATATTGAGGTGTCGTGGCATTAGGAAGGTTGAGAACCAGTGTGCTAAAAGATTGTGATATGCTAGAAAGGTGCTTTCTTTAAGGTGTCCCTTTTAATTTTTTGAGGTTGGAATGGATTATGCCCAAAATAAATATTTCATAGGAGAGTACTAATTTCCAGGATGAGTAGAGCAGTTTCTGTCCTGTAGAAGTGCCTCTGCATCAGTGTATACTGTCATCTATTTATTATATACTATCTCATAGGTTCCCAGTGATGCCTGGATTAGATCTTTTATAATGATAAGTATTACAAGTAGTCATTGTTTGGTTTTGGATGCTATGAATTAGTCCCATTAGAAAATGCATAAGGATGTTGGTGAACTACAGCTCCCATCTTTGTCTGTTGTTACCACTAAACCGAACCATTAGTTAAACTTGGTCATGGTGTGTATGTGTGCCAGATCCATCATCTGTGGGGTTCATGATGGAGCCCCCGGTGGCGTAGTGGGTTAAACCCGTGTCGGCAGGACTGAGGACCAACAGGTCGAGGTTCGAATCCGGGGAGTGGCGGATGAGCTTCCTCTATCAGCTCCAGCTCTTCATGCGGGGACATGAGAGAAGCCTCCCACAAGGATGATAAAAACATCAAATCATCCAGGTGTCCCCTGGGCAACGTCCTTGCAGACAGCCAATTCTCTCACACCAGAAGTGACTTGCAGTTTCTCAAGTCGCTCCTGACACGACAAAAAAAATAAAATAAATTGATGCTTTCTGAATGTTGGTGAACTACGGTGCCCGTAATTCTGGGTTAATTCCCCCAAACCCTGCCAGCAATTAAAGTTGGTCATGACAGGTATGTGGGCCATGGGTGGTCCAGCTCCATCATTGGGGAGGGGTGGGGTTTTCACAGTGCAACTACAGTTCCGATCATCCTGAGTCAATCCTCCCAAACCCCACCAGTAGTTAAAATTGGTCATGATGTGTATGTGGCCCGTATTTAGTCCAGATCCATCGTCGGTGGGGTACAGGGGTTCACAGTGCAACTACAACTCCCATCATTCTGGGTCAATATTCCCTTAAGCCCCACAGTACTTAAAGTTGGTCACAATGGGTCTGTGTGTCACATTTGGTCCAGATCCATCGAAGGTGGAGTTCACAGGGCTCTCTGGATGTGAGAGCCATTCTGAAAAAAATACATAGATACTTTGACTTTTATTCTATACATAGATTGAATATAGAATAGATAGATACAGATAGATAGAATTTCTTGGACTTCTATTTAGACATAACCCCAGTTTGTGTTGAATCAAATGTAGAAATAGGAGCATTAAAAACAAAAACAGTGATTGAGGTAGAATATATAATTATATCCAGACTCCAAAATACACATATTAGCGCAATCCGGAAGACATATGTTAGCTTCCTCTCACAAAGATGGTATAGCGTTCATTATGGGCATAGAAATGTGATGATGTTGAAGTTGCAGATTTGGAAACCCATATGTGTTCAAATGTTAAGCAGCCATTAAAAAAAATCAAATAGAGAAGCAACAGGAACAAAGGCTATAAAATTTCAGCTCTCCATTGCTGCCATGAAGCCTCTTCCTTTCAAATCAAGTCTGTTCTTGCCCTTGTGAAAGCAGAAGCTCCAAAGTTCGCCGATTTTGATTGTCTTTTTGGGAAAATCTAACTTTGTAAGGGCCGGGCTTTAGCACAGCTGGTTAAACACCAGCAGCAATACATCTTACCGATCAAAAGGTTGGCAGTTCAAAGCCTGGGTCGGGGTGAGCACCCGTCTATTAGCCCAGCTCACTGTCCACCTAAGCAATTCAAAAACAGCTGTGAGTAGAGAAAATAGGCACCACTTAAGTGGGGAGGTATTTTATGACACCATAAAAAGGAAATATCAGAAAAATATCAGTGATCAAATGAAGGAGGATGTCTATGATCAAGCTTCTTTGTCAGAGGATGGAGCGACAGCAACCCCCTGTGGCCGGAATTGAGCACAACCTCCAGGATGCTGAAGCCAACATAATACCTTTATCTGTTGTCTGCAGGGGCGGCTCAACCCATTACGCAAAGTAAGCATTTGCAGTACAGTTGATTTTGCCCAGGGGCGCTCTTGAGGCGCTCTTGGGGGAAAATAGACCTTGACATATGCGAGTTGTAGTTACTGGGATGTATAGTTCACCTACAATCAAAGAGCATTCTGAACTCCACCAATGATGGAATTGAACCAAATATGGCACACAGAACTCCCATGACGAACAGAAAATATCAGTGATTGGTTGGGGGGGGGGGGGCAAAATATTGTTTGCTTACTGTTGAAAATTACCTAGGGCCGCCTCTGGTTGTCTGTCCTGTCTGTTTAACAGCATTGAATGTTTGCCGTGTATGTCTTTAATCTGCTCTGAGTCTCCTTCGGGGTGAGAAGGGTGGAATATATAAATACTGTAAATAATCAATAAAATTAACTCTTAAATTTCTAGTTAGCTTTAATAAGTGAGTGGGCCAGTGGATCTGGTTTATATCCCTTTTTCTCCTTTTTGAGAATCAAGATTGCAAATAGTCCACTTTCTTCAAGTTCAAGTGTGTGTATATATATATATTTCCCTGATTTGCAGGTGTATTAGATACCCACAAATAGTCTTGTGCATTTCTATGGAATCACTATCCATTTTGTTTTGTTTCATTTGTTTGGCCCTGTTTTCGTTCGTTGCTTCTGAAAACAAGGTGCCTATCTGAATGCGCTTTCATTCCGCATCTAAAAGGACTAAAAAAAAACTTTTGACCATTGGCGGCAATGGGAGGACTTCCCAGGCTCTCCCTCCCTCAGTTTTAGGGCTAGAGATGGTGCACAGAGAGTAGGGACTGGAATCGAAACAAAGAAATACAGAAAACCCAAAATAAACAAATGAGACGAATACCGGGTCCATGACTACCCTCAAGTCACAAAATAAACTGCAGAGGTACCATTAAACAGAAACTCAAAAATACACACTGAGCCAGAAAAGATTCTAGATTTCCCAATGTTTTTTTGCAGGCAAAAATAATGAAAGAAAAGTGGCATTAGGGCATGCTCTCGGATGTATTTGACTCTTAATTTTTCACTTATTTGCCATTTTGGCCACTGGAGGGAGGTGTTGGGAAACGAGAGTGATTTGAGTAGGTCCAAGGAAAGAGAATTAAACACAGTAAGGAATTTGCTTTTATTGAATGAGGGCTGAGGGTGGAGAATACCAGCTGCTGAAGCTGCTCTTTCCCAAGCTCTGTGATGCCCAAAGCATAGCCTTATATCACAAAAGAAGAGGAAGAGCTCCAGCAAAGCCTTGTCGAACATCCACTTCTGGATGGCAGTAATCTGGGGAAACTGGTGCTGCAGCCCATGGTTTTGTTCGCTCTCCTGCACTCCTCTGAGACAGAGATGAAAGGCAGGAGGTCTAAGTTTGCAAAATTCAAATTTCCATATTATTACTATTATTACTACCATTATTCTTTTATTTGGGTTGTAGGTTTTTCAGGTTGTATGGCCATGTTCTAGAAACATACTCTCCTGACGTTTCGCCTGCATCAGAGGTTGTGAGATCTCGCCTTCTACTATGCTATATAACACGATTGTTGTTCCTGAATTATAAATGTCATTTCCTAATTGGCTCTATCATAAAAACATGGAAAATGTTTATTAAACTGCCAAAACTTTGGTTTTTGCGGGAGGGACATCCTGCAGCACATTTTGCTCGTAATTTTTCGCCCCCAGTGGTGCAGTGGGTTAAAGCATTCAGCTGCTGAACTTGCTGACTGAAAGGTTGGTGGTTTGAATCCAGGGAGCGGGGTGAGCTCCCACTTTTAGACTCAGCTTCTGCCCACCTAGCAGTTTGAAAACATTCAAATG